GACTAGTAAATACAGTCAAATCAACAGTCTAGAGCTCTAGTTAGACATGACTAGTAAATACAGTCAAATCAACAGTCTAGAGCTCTAGTCAGACATGACTGGTAAATACAGTCAAATCATCAGTCTAGAGCTCTAGTTAGACATGACTGGTAAATACAGTCAAATCAACAGTCTAGAGCTCTAGTCAGACATGACTGATAAATACAATCAAATCAACAGTCTAGAGCTCTAGTTAGACATGACTAGTAAATACAATCAAATCAACAGTCTAGAGCTCTAGTTAGACATGACTGGTAAATACAGTCAAATCAACAGTCTAGAGCTCTAGTTAGACATGACTAGTAAATACAGTCAAATCAACAGTCTAGAGCTCTAGTTAGACATGACTAGTAAATACAGTCAAATCAACAGTCTAGAGCTCTAGTCAGACATGACTGGTAAATACAGTCAAATCATCAGTCTAGAGCTCTAGTCAGACATGACTAGTAAATACAATCAAATCAACAGTCTAGAGCTCTAGTCAGACATGACTGGTAAATACAGTCAAATCATCAGTCTAGAGCTCTAGTCAGACATGACTAGTAAATACAATCAAATCAACAGTCTAGAGCTCTAGTCAGACATGACTAGTAAATACTATCAAATCATCAGTCTAGAGCTCTAGTCAGACATGACTGGTAAATATAGTCAAATCAACAGTCTAGAGCACTAGTCAGACATGACTGGTAAATACAGTCAAATCAACAGTCTAGAGCACTAGTCAGACAAGACTGGTAAATACAGTCAAATCAACAGTCTAGAGCACTAGTCAGACAAGACTGGTAAATACAGTCAAATCAACAGTCTAGAGCACTAGTCAGACATGACTGGTAAATACAGTCAAATCAACAGTCTAGAGCACTAGTCAGACAAGACTGGTAAATACAGTCAAATCAACAGTCTAGAGCACTAGTCAGACAAGACTGGTAAATACAGTCAAATCAACAGTCTAGAGTTCTAGTCAGACATAACTAGTAAATACAATCAAATCAACAGTCTAGAGCTCTAGTCAGACATGACTGATAAATACAATC